AGTCTAACGCAGTTAACGCGTTAATAACGCTTTAAAACTGACAGCCCTAATAATTTTTTTTCCTTGTTGAATTGATCAAAAATAAGAATTTCTACCATTTCCATCCTTTAAATGTATCAACCAACAACTTTATTGAATGTTTATTGATCACAAAAACTATGATCAATGTATGGCCAGAGTGTTTTTCTAAACTTAAAGCCTATTTTGTTTGACTTTTTGCTGTTACAATTCCAGGAAAAATAGTAAATGGAGAAACATGTGACCATTTCATACATTGAAAAAACTGTTTTTATCGAACACTTGTTTTTGATTACCTCTGAATTTACATATATAGTTTGTACGCATTTGCTGAATATTATCTTTAAAATTTACGACTAAAACATTGATCGATGTGCAGACTGACACCGCAGTAGTTCAGCACCGATGCATCTATAAGCCTGTAGCCTGTTTTCCCTGAATATAGTTCGGGTCAAAAGTTCACAAGCTGTTTGAGTCTATCTAGCAAACAATCGAAGGGTTAAAGGTATAAAAGAGGATTTTTCTCAGAATTTAAGTTGTCCAGATTGATCTAAAATGACTTGCCATCCAATTGAGTGGTGGATGGCATTCTTGCACTTATGCCCCCCTAAAAAAAAAAAAATGAATCCATAAACTCTGGCCGTGATGGGGCTGACAAAACATTAGCCAATTCATTTTGCCTACTGTGAAAAGTGGATTGGCTATTTTTTCGTCAATCAAAAAATTTGCGTATGTTGTTAACCTAGGCTCCAAGCGTAAATCATACGCTGTTTAGCTGACGGTCCACCATTATGCCCGAGCACAAAGAGGTACTCCTACGCTTGTTCACTCTTTTTTATTAACTTGAACATCAATGGCCGAAAAGAATCCTGACAAACCTAACACTAAGAAAAAGCATTTTTTCAATGTAGTTAATAAGTGGAGAGAAAGGACGATAGAATGGAGCTGGCTGAGTGTGTGTTTAGGAGAATCTTTTCGGAGATGACGTGCCCTGAAGGAGCAAAAAAGATGTGAAAACGGATGCTTTGGTTGCAAAGCTCCTGCTGGACAGGTAAATTACATTTAATTATGTAGTAAGTACTGTATATTTTTTAAATTATGAAACATGCACTGCTACCTTGCAGCAATAAGGTTGCGGGTTTGATTCCCGGCCTGGTGTCTTTCTGCATGGAGCTTGCATGTTCTCCCTGAGCATGCGTGGGTCCCCTCCGGGTACTCTGGCTTCCTCCCACAGTCCAAAAACATGACTGTTAGGCAAATTGGTTTCTCTAAATTCTCCTTAGGTGTGACTGTGTGTGTGAATGGACTGGCGACCTGTCCAGGGTTGACCCTGCCTCTCACCAGTAGACAGCTGGAGATAGACACCAGCACCCTTGCTTGACATGAGAAATAATGGATGGATGGAAACATGCAGCAGCAAGAACACACAAACAAATTGTAGATATGACTTGCTGTGATAATGCCGGCAGAAACTCTTCTTCTTATGGAGATTTCCTGCTGACTACAGTAGGTGCATCCTGGCACTTTGCAGCCTCTCTAGGTGAAATACTAAATTACTGGTGGAGGCGTTTCGAGCATAAAGAATTTCTGCGAAGGGGCGGGCACTAACGCCTTCAAAAATAAACAAACAGCCGAAATCCTCTTCCTGCCTTTAAATTTAGGTTGGATTTGATAGATATTCAGAAGCGACTCGCTTTCCGCTGAAATCAGACACCAATAGCAACTCCACAGCAGGTGAAAAAAGTAAAAAAACAAAGAAACTTGTAAAGCACGAGTGCGAAGTAAGCAACCGAGCTGAAGAGTACTACAGTTCTGTGCTTTGGCCACAGGTGGCAGTATCATTAGAAAACGAGGATGTTTGTTTAAAGGTGGGATTTTTGTAAACTGAAATATTCTTGGTAATCTTAGCTGACCTAAAACAGCAAATACGCAATTTAATGCAACAAAAAACAAAATAAGTTATTATTTATTACTTATTTATGGTGTATTTACATGTCTAAATTAAACTGATTTTTTAGATCTTTGAAAATACTGAATAATAAAAGTGTTATTCCTTGGAAAAAGCTGTAAAAAATTCCTTGGGAGAAAGAGAAGCTTCCAAAAACAGTGAAAGAGCAGCCCGGTGATGAACGTTTAATTAGAAGCTGAAAGAAATAATCCACTGTTGTTTTGTATGGCGCTGTATGTTATTGAAAGATTATGAGCTGTGACTATTAGGATAGGAATTTCCTCAGAGTCTTGATCCAGTAAGTAACCCAGACATTTTTCACTGGAATTTAATCGTTCCATGTCTATCAAGTCTTCCTAAGAACTTTCAAAGAAAAACACATTCTTTCAGAACAGCCCATAAGAGAGAAATTATCCATCACCATCTATATCTTATTCCTGATTTAATAAACTCTTGGAACTTTTAAAAAATATTAAATTTTTGCAGGATAAATACTTTCTTCTCGCTTTCAAATCGCGATTTCCAATTACGATGTGAAATGTTTAAATGCCTGAGAAATCTGATGTATTCATAAATATTTTTATTTTTTTTTTGTTGAGAAGATTGATTCAAATAGCTGGAAGTCTTCCTACCTCTCCTTTGGTGCCGACCAGATGCTTGCAGGCTGCACAGGTAAAAAACAGCGAGTAAAGCCCACCACCTTCGTGCCATGCCCATGATCCTCACTCACAAATCCGTTCACAAAAATCGACACCTACTCTTCACCTGTCAAGCTCTCTGCAATCAGCGTCATAAAGGATCATGACAAAAATAATCCCTCCTTACCACGTACATGTAAAGGCTTTTATGTTTCCTCCTCCCTCGGTCCAATCTTTCACTCTCTCCCTGATTTTGGGTGGGTGTGTGTGTGTGTGTTCCCCGTTTAGGCCTGGGCTCCCATCTGGAATCCATCAGGATTTGTGAGAATGCTTGCCCGACTGGCTGAACTTCTCTCACAGCCACTGGAAAGCTGCCTTCAGTTACTGGGTTTTCTTTTTCTTTTTTTTAACTCCAACAGACTGAAAACAAGTGAATGCATCACTGGAAGACTGAGGGAGATGTTATATTTCCAGAGAAATAACAACATGATTACTCTGGAAATCATAAGTGATGATTTCTGCCAGACAAGAGACAACAGTCCAGTTTCTGCACCTGGAAACATGAACCTTCATGGAACATCAACAATAAAACTGTTAGAATCCAACTGAATTAACTTGGAATTAATAGATGCTATATTACTTTCAATTTAACACACTTAATAGAGTTAAGAATTTTTTTTTTCTCCAAATTTGATTCATTTATTTTTGTTGGACGGTGGGAGCAATCTCAAAAGCTGTCCTTATTAATGCCATATGACTGACCACATTTTTTAGGTTCTGTTTTATTACCTGCACCAAGGTTTGCTATCAGATGTGCATAATCCAGACAGTTCTCAAATAGAAACAGGCTTAAATTTTAAGGCAACCGGACTCCCGCTCAGTCCTTTTGAAGCCATTTTAACACCCATCCAGGAGTGCTGAGGTATTTCAGAAGCATGGAAGACCAACCTCCTGCATACACTCAAAGTCAGACGCTAATCAAAATGCCACCCTTTGTTCTATTTGATTGTTGATCTTTTAAATTATAATGGTTTATGTAACTTCTTGGGAATAAGTCCATGATTAGATCATAAACGCTAGGAAGCTGAAACCACAATCCTCCGCCCTTTGTGCAGTGATGGTTTTTCTGTTTTGACAAAGATGGCCTCCTTGATGCCTCTTTCAAGCCATCTGTCTTCTTTGTCCAAAATCAGAACAATTTGGTCTTCAAAGTTGTTTCCTTTGTTTTCGAGGTGCAAGTGTACAGCTGAATCTTGCCCAGAGCTGCTGGCTCTCCTCTGCTGTATCATGTGTTTTCCAATGTAGAGGCTGTATAGTCCTCACTGCACTGGTAGGCATGCACAACGCCGCTCGGCTTAGGTTTGGGCGTTCAGTCTTTAGGATGAACCAGTTTTTGTAAGAGTGTGTTGTTGGGCTTGAAATTCACTGGTGTATGCTGTGTTTGGAGAAAATCCTTCCGAGTTTCTCAGAAAATTATATTTTCCCAAATGTATTTATGTCTATTGTATTTGTTCTTACCTACTTGTAGCATCTTATCACCAAGGGATTAATCTTGCATATAAAACTGTAATTGGAAATCTAACTTCTAATTCTGAATTTTTGACAAGTTGTCATTGCCCTGAAGTGGAATGAGTGCAAACATATTTTCTTTAATGGCTTTGTTGATTTCTGCCACATTGAAGAGGTAGCACACCGTCATTAAAAGTTCAACTCTTCATCAGTCCACAGAATATGTTTCTGATCTTGGTAATCATCGACATAGTTTTTGAAAAATGTTTAGTTTGCTTGTGTTTAGTTTGGTCATCAGAAGCAGACTTGAAAACTCTCAAGAATGTTTTTTTTTTTTTTTCCCCAGGTCTTTTGTCTTACCATAAACCATGAACACTGGCATTATTTGAAATAAGTGAGCTGTGATGGGCTTCAGATGTTTCTGTATTTTTCCTGGATGAGTTTTCAACTCACTCTGTTTTTCATAGTAAATTACACCACTATTCGGTGAAATCTCCATTAGTGGATATGAGCTCTATGATGTCTCTGGACCTTTCTTTACTGTTCCATGTTAATGGGTTTGTTTATCACCTCTTCTAGAATTTCTTTAGATCAGTGAAATATTTGCTTTTTAAGGTATTTTACCTTACTTCATGTTGTCAGACAGGCCCTTATTTGATCTGTTGACTAATTCTACCAAATCTGTCTCTTTTAATCCATGATTCAACATGTAGCACCATTAGATTTTGATATATGGCCATGGTGGTTAGGACAGTTTTTGTACAATTAGCTAATCTGAGTATATCAAGATGCTAACAACTAAATGCTTTACCATATTCACTTCCAATAATTTCTTTATATTATGCAGCTAAAATTAAACATTTTTAGTAAAATTTTAATTCTTTTGAAACAATTGCTCTGTTTATACATTGAGTCTTACCGTAAATCCTCTAATATAGGCCGGGGCCTTTATTTCACTCAGGTGCATCTTGGTCCAGGCCATTATTGGAAGGAGGCCAGAATTAGAGGCAGGCCTCTATTTCTATTTGATCAAAACAGACGACCAGTGGAATGAATAAAAACAGATTGTGTCTCTTTGAACCGATAAAATACTAGGTTAATTTATTGAAAAAGTACAGTTAGCATAACGGTTTACAGAACATTATTCAGACATCTTCCAGCAGCTGCTATTTTTCTGCACGGCAATACAAAAAAAAAGACACAGAATGGATTCTTGGCCAAACAAAGTTTTAAAATAAATTAATGGAAACTGTTCTGCCATCACAGCCGGTCATAAAAACCAAACAATCCGGCCTCCTGTCTGCAGCACTGTCTGCGCTAAGGATGGGAATTCCCAAGCTAATGGATTGGATTCGTTAGCAAACACTGCCCCCCTGTGGTACTTGCATGTTACTATCAGAGGTTGCTGAGGACTGCACAGGAACATCGTTGGTTCCAATTATAGCCCCGGCCTGTATTAGCGTCCAGCCATTATTTACCCCCGCCGACAGCAAAACCAGCCATTATTAGAGACCCGGCTGTTAATGGAATACAGGCCAATATTAGAGGATTTACGGTATACCCATTTCTTTGAGAATTGATCTCAATGGACATCTTCCATCCATTCCGCCATGCTTATCCCTGCAGGGGTTTGCGAGGGGTGCTGGTGCCAGGGACGAGAGGCGGGGTACACCCCGGACAGGTCGCAAGTCTATCGCAGGGCAATACAGAGACAAACAGGATAAACAACCATTCACATACATACTTACACCTAAGGAGAATTTAGAGAAGCAAATTAACCTAACAGTGAATGTTTTTGGACTGTGGGAGGAGTACCCGGAGAGTACCCACCCATGCTCAGGGAGAACATGCAAACTCCATGCTGAAAGACCCCGGGCCGGAAAACTAATTCAGAACCTTATTTTGGCAAGGCAGCAGTTCAACCTACCATGCCACTGCGCAGCCTCAATTGACAGCTTAACTTCCAACAATTTAAGTTTGTTTTAATTTGAGTTTAGTTTATCTGATCAATGTTTTTCCCTTGAATTTAATATCTGTAATTTTATTTCTCTAAATCTATTGCACAGAAAACAACAACATCCATACAGAGACTGGGGAACGAGCAATTCAACTTTCATTTTAAAGTAAGGACCATTTAAAGCATCTTGATTAAAGGCTGTCAAGATCCTATTCACTCCTCCACAGGCAGTTTCCTTTTTTGTTGTCACTGAATATGTGCAATAAATACATAGCTGTTTTTTTCCTGGTGCTAAAGCAGATAATAGCCTGTGTAGGTGTGCTCGATTTCAATTCTACCAGCTGTTCTCTCTAGGCTGCAGGATTTAGAAACAGAAAAAGACTTATGCTGACATGTCAAGAAGAATTGAATAAAAAGTAAGTCACTGATTGGTGTTTGAAGGCAAAAGGGGGGCAATAATGCATCAGTTTAAGAAAGTATGATGTCCTACTTGTAATTTACTTCCTTATTTTCAGTCCCAATGTAAATTAATTAGCAACATCCCCTTCAAATAGCATCAGGAAATATTATGTTCTGGTCCAAATCTTGATTGATGGCTGAATCTTGCCCTACTATTTCCTTTGTATTTGTCAGTTTAATGGTGACATCATGTTTCCCTTGAAACAAGCTGCTCCATCATGCATGACATCACCAAATTTTCTCTGGCTATTTTGACTCATCTCTTCATTCATGGCCGCGCTTGTAGCAGATTTGATATAGAAGTCTGAGGAGTTGCTCCATATATTGATTATATCAGGTTGCTTCACTGTTGGAATCACAGGGATTTTCCAGATGCTGTCATATTCATACATATCTTTTCCTCTCTGTTCACACATTTTCAATGGAATTATGCTTTAAATCTATGCTTCACAAAAAAAGAAAAAAAAAATGCGCTTAGGGCCAAGTCCCAAAGCCAGTCATGGAAAGCTACCATCCTGCAACTTCTAGATGTCCATCCTCCAACGTACCTTTTCAGCCATTAGATTCAGGTGTGTTGGAGAGGAGATGTATCTAAAGGGCAAAATGGTAAAACTGAAAGACTGGACTTGGGTACCTAAGGTTCGGGTCAGTGTGCCATTGCTTGTGCCCACGTTTTAACCGGCATATTGACATCTGCCATGGAGGATCAGGAGAAAAAGTAAAAAGATAAAAAGCTATTTTAAATGTATTATTTAAATCCTGAAATAAGAAATCCAATTTAAAAAGCATTTTTCTCATTGTGCATTTTAAATTTAGTTATTAAAGAGGAATTTTAAATTGCATCTACTAATCCTTTATTAATGGAAAATCTATTGGAAAATTGAAAATTGAAATCTAAATAAGTCATTTTTCCTTAAAATAAGCGCATTTTTTCTTGGATTGAGGAGGTAAGTGAGACACCTTGCCAATGGAACAAGACAATTTACATTTAGAATAAGAAAGGAATAATTGCATCATCTCATTTCAAGTGCATATTAGCTAATTATCTTATTTTAAGAGTAAAAATACTCATTCCATTGGCAAATCATCTTATTTACCTGCTCAAATTAAGGGTAAATACACTTCATGCAACACATTTTTTCCTAATTTCTAGATCGTTTTTACAGTGTAGGGCCACTAAAAGATTTTAAAAAGGATTTTTTTATATTTTATTTCAGTATAATATGGGGAAAAATCTGAATTCTCACTTTAAACTCAGAATTCTGACGTTTTGTCAAAAAAGGGGGCAGATGGACCCAGTCACTGACACTCTGGAGGG